AACAGTCATTGGGCATTTCCTATAGGGTTGGATTATGCCATCCAATAACGCAAGGCTTTATTCACTCCTGTGACTCCTTTGGATCGGCTGCTAAAAGCCAGATCTGCTTACTCGGCCTTTAAAACCCACCGAAAGTTGTTTCTACACAGAGTTGCTTCAATTTTTGACATTCGGGAGCAGAGGGGACGCTCACCCGAATATTTTGTCAAGCTTTCTTCGTAGTGAATTCTGCTCGACCACCATTGCTTCGCAATTGTTTGCCCGCTGTGCGACCTTCAACTAATGAGTAGGACTTTTAGGATTGCCCAGCACGAGATTACCTACCAAGGTTGTCGATTTGATTTCTCACGGGCAAAAAGTTTGCGATTACGCCAAGGGTGGTTTGATTCGAAATTGAATCTGAGAACTGGTATCCCTGGAAGCGAAGCTGGGGGAGTAAACTTTTACCGTAATACTTAGACGCTATTCAAGAGTTGATGCTAGCTACTGCCATGTTGCGCTGTCTGATAACTAGTGATATACACAGTGGCGAAAAATTCACGTGCGCCATAAAACACGTCCAAACTTTCATTTCTTGTCCACAAAAATTTGAAAGCAATTAATTTTATAAAACATCAAACCATGACATTTTATAACTGCAAAAAAAATTTGGAGTAGCTGCCATCAGTTTGATACAGGCCTCAATTTGTTTCTTCAGCGAGTCAATGGTGCGGCGGAGATGCTCAACGGATATTTAATTTCTTCTTTTGTAAGCAGGAGCAGGACTCATGTTTCTCTTTTTATTGGTGGCTTTTTTCTTCGCGAAGCACTACTAAAAGAAAGGAAACGGCAAAAAGAAAAACAGACAAGTGGCAAAACATAGCAAGCAAAAACGGGCCCTCTTCTAGTTGACTCGACTGCATCTTCGTGCCCTATTTTTGCCATGATTCTGAGGCAGATGATGCCTTCCATTTTTCCACTCAAGAATGAACTTGGGATTCCCTCACACGCACGAAACATTGTCCGTTGAGACATAAAGTTTTCAAAGAAGATTCGATGACAGAGCACGCTTGGTGAAGTGGATGTTTCTCTTGTGACACGGCCTTTGTTTCATCGAAAAGTAATGAGAGACCTTTGAGCTCTTCTGAACTCCATATCATGTAAAACCCCTGAAAAAAATTCTGAGCTTGGCGTGAATTTGGTCCAAATCTGGTGCGACTGCGTTCGTTCAACAGTTTCTGCGATGACCTCCTTTTTCAAAGTCCGACAGCAGTAGGAACTGAGGTCTTGCTATAGCATAGAATAAATAAACAACAAGAAATGACCTCAGTTCCTCCTGGCGACATCAACACTCAGCCCAACTCGAAGATCGTCTTCAACGCGCCGTACGACGACAAGCACACCTACCACATCAAGAT